AGTCCACTGCTGGACATAGGCCTCTCTTTAGAAAGGAGATTTTGGCCTACTATCAAAATGATCCTACTACCAAAAAGATCACTTTTAACTCGTTACTATTTTATGCAAAAAAAGTTGTAGAATATTTCCATCAAAATTAAAAACTGTGAACACACGATGCACTGCCCTTGAGTATAATCGATTTACTGACTCCAGCCAGCCAGCCAGACAGACCAGGAACGCTTTAAATACTAGGAAATCTCCAAGTTGTGATTTCCCTCTAGACTCCGGTATCTCATGCCAATTTGCACATATGAAATTGACAAACTCTGTGAAACGTAAACTGCAATTTGTGACGATGATTGAACACGTTCCGATGCACGGAAAGTCACTCAACAACGCAGCAAACGTTTTGTTGCATCACATTGATGAGTCTATTACTTTTTCGATCCGAATAATAATAGCTTCTGTTCTCTCAAATCGGACAGTATTTTGAGAATTTTGAAAGAATTCTTGAATCCTTTAAGGATTATTCTTAGAGGATTCAAGCCTTGAGGTCTAAGCAGTCTTGTCAGCTTTTTGAGATTACTCTTAGATCTCAATGCTCTTTTTTCCAGAAGGGGGTATACGAGCAAAGTTGAATGTAAGCTCTAATATATTTTTATAATCCCTTCGAGTGAAGCCTCCAAGTATTAATTTTAATTTGTCAGCTTTTAAGTTTTAAAGGATAAGCTTTTAAGTCTAAGTGTTACTTTATTTTATTAATTAAATGATACAATTATTTTGAAATTTAAATCTTATCTACAAATTATGAATGTCAGTAAACCTGAACGACGACGTGGAATGAATAAATTCTCAATTTCATTAGAATATTTTCGGTGTTTCTATTTTGAACTAATAATTTTCTTTTACTTTTGAAAGTGTAACCCATTATCAAAATATTCGAGGTTAGGAGTAATACCACTCCAATGAGGGTTGCTAGGCTACGCATAAAATCTTTTCCATTCCAAGGCAGGCTAATGTGGGCGTGTCTTTTCGTAAAAGCTTACCCATTTGAGGACCTGTCAGCAGCAAATCTTCTTTTGTAGATTTATTATAAATTATTTTAGTATTTGTCTTAAGCCCAAGCCGAAAAGAGTTATTTATAATGTCTCAAAAGAATTCTTCGGTAAGCTTATCTGCGAGTGTAAAATAAATAAATATGATAAGAAGGATTTTGAGTTAGAAAACGAAAATAGAGAGAAATCTGTTTTTGTTATCACACGACACACTCAGGTATTAAAGCGATTAGCACACATAAAAATACACTGCTGTTAACATACAGTATTTTAGGCTTCAGAGGGCCAAATGCGAGTTTATTTCACTTCTCGAGTAGACATGGTGACAGCGTTCGGTGCTACGATTGGCCCGCACTGCAATCTCCACCAATCGCAACGCTAAACGCGCTCGCCATCAAGTGCGAGTGGATGTTAAACTAAACTTGCACTCGGCCCTCTGGTGCTAACAAAATCAAAATAATTTTTAATATTTGCATGGTTTTTAAAATATAAAAGTATATGTTATCGAAATACATATAATCAATTGAGTCTACGAGTGTTACATATACTATACTAATATCAGAATATTTATTTTCTAAAACCACAGTTTTCTATAAACCTCCTTTCTAAGGAGAGGCCTATGTTCAGTACTGGACTACTAAAGGCTGTTGATGATGATGATGATAACCACAGTTAATAAAATTTTAAAAGTTTAAATCAGATGCGAAAGAAATTAATATCTCAACATAGAAACTTAATAGATGTTAAAATCATTCACAAAACCAATCTTACTTATAGAGGCTTACACAAGATGAAAAAATAACCCAAAAAACCCAAGAAAAAATAACACAAGATGAAAAAAAAAAGTGTCCTCATGCCAAAATTTGCGTTTCATTGTAGTCTTGTGTTTTATTCATTTATTTATTGTCTTAAGATAGTATAGAAACCAATGCATACTTTAAATTACGGATATACAACTTGTTAGTTATAAACCTTGCACATACATTAAAAACTATAGAAAGAATCAAATTTAAGTCCTCAAAAAGTAAGGTCTATGTCTTTTAGGTGCAGCGGTTGTACTCTCCGGATGGAGTCCCTCTCGCCTGGAGTTTCGGCCATAACTCTTGTCAGAAGCAATGATGCAATTCTAAAATTTTACGCCAAGTTGCATTTAATATACATAAACAATTCCCATGTGTGGCCAAAACTTAAAAGTCACAATTTCATGTTTTTTATGGCATAGGGAGCAAACTAGTAGACAGGTCACCTGATGGAAAGTGACTATCGCCGCCCATGAATGCCGGCAACTCAGGAGTCACAAGCTTGTTGCCAGCACATACACACACACATACACACACAAACGCACACACTCACAGACGCACACGTACACACGCATGCATACATAAATATCCACGCTTAAACCCAGCGTCGACAACATTACTGTAACTTCAATATGGGGGGGAGCCTGGAGCTCTAAAATACAAGCCAAGCCTTAGTGTAGACTCCGGATCTCCCATAAATTACCAATTAAGCCAAATATTTGTCAACTTACTTATTAAAACTTGTGTTATTTGTGGAGATAAATTAAAATATATTATTATTATATAACGGTATTTCATGGAATGTTTTCTCTGTATGCGGAATCTTTGACCTTAGCTGCTTCGGTATATTTGCTTTTTTTGTCCCTTTTCATTTCATCCGTCTGGAAACGATTACATTCCCTAGAAAGGTTAATGTCAGGCAGCTGTCAAGCTATAAAAGAAACCAAAACCCTTTGTAATGTCAAATATTGCTGGGGCCCAAAAAATAGGCAGAAGTATGATGATTATGAACAATAAAATTTGTGCCTTAAATTCTGTTTAAATGCACTACGACCATGTCCGTGGAGGGACGGATTAAGAATACGAAGTGTCACCACCCCTATTCATCCCGTGGGTGGCGTAAGAGCTGACTATAGGAGCAAACTACGCAGGACAACAGCACTGCAAAGAGAAGGAAAACTTGTTACAAACCCTATACCAACCCGTCTTTCCAGCGTGGAATAGTAGGCCAAAATCTCCTTTCTAAGGAGAGGCCTATATCCAGTAGTGGACTATTACAGGCTGTTGATGTGATGTGTGATGAAATGCACCACGAAAGTATTTTTTTCTGCATCTACATGATACTATGTATGTGTCTTTCTATGTTCCTTACTGTAACAGTATGTATGGTGAACCGCACATTTTACATTTTTAAAACGGCTGACGATGAGCCGAGCCCATTTACCTAATCTGCACATACGCAAGCCAATAAATTTAGTGTTGATTTACCAGTCATACAGAGCGGTTTTATTTTGACACTCATAACTCAGCATACATATCAATTATTATATTTATTATTATTTTCTATCATACATCTGTGTAAGGAACCACGGTAACCCTTATATTACCCAGATAAACTTGCTTACATTGAAACTCGCTGTTCGGACGTCTGAAGATAATTCAATAACATTTCCAGTTGGATACTTACTCATTTAAACGTTATCTATAGGTGAATTGTAGTGCAAAACATCATCTGAATTTTTCATTTCATCTGATTTTAGACGTTATACTGTATTTTTTTATGTAAGAGGGGGCAGATCGCCACCCATTAACGTTTGCAGCTCAGGAGTCACAAACGCGTTGACGGCCCTTTAGGAAGGAGTACGCTCTTTTCTTGAAGGTTTGAAGGTCATATCGGTTCGGAAATACCGCAGGCGCTAACCCGATCCACAGATTGGTTGTGCGGGGCAAAAAGTGTCTCGAAAAGCGCACAGTAGTGGAGCACCAACTATCCAGGTGATGAGGATGAAAATTTTGCCGTGTGGAACGATGGCGGAAAGTTGCGGCTGGTACTAGTCCGAATTATTCCTCGGAGCACTCTCCATGATGTATGCGTCAGAGAATGCAGAGTGAAGCCACATCTCTAAGTAACACCAAGGGATCGAGCTGATCGGAGATGTTTGTGTTAAGCAGCAAAAAAGATAAAAACGTTCTTAAACTATTCTAATCTATATTATATTTGTGTGTAAGAATGATGCTCCTCGAGTCTTGAGTCTGATTTCTCGTTACATGTAGTAGATAGTTCCACACACAATTTCTCGACTCATTTACCGTCTCAACGCTGCGACTTTCATCAGAAATATTAAATCGAGTGTGAAATCATTCACAAAACCAATCTTACTTGTAGAGGCTTACACAAGATAAAAAAATAACTAAGTAGTGTCCTCATACCGAAATTGGCGTTTCATTGTAGTATTCTGTTTTATTTATTTAATTAATTGTCTGAAGATATTATAGAAACCAATGAAAACTTTCAAATTCAAACTCAAACTCTCTTGATTTCATTTTTTTGTTTATTGTTTGAAATCGTCTTTTATGTAGACTCTAAAGTCATAGATCAACACACATAAAAGCAACAATCTGTGTTTTGTCAAATAGTAAGCAAATAAATTTAACAAAAATCAAACCCATACAAAATCTATGATATGCCTGTGCCGATCTACAACCGCCCGTTTCCAGAGGGTTGAAGAAAGGGCTTATGAGAAGAAAGGGCAAACAAACTCATGGCCACTCTTTTGCAATTTACAGATAGATACAATGGCACTATCAAATGATTTCTGTTAATTGATATGTTAATGTTTTTAAATTACGGATATGGAACTTGTCAGCTATAAACCTTGCAAATACATTAAAAACTATAGAAAGAATCAAAGAACAAGTCCTCAAAGACTAAGGTCTCTGTCAGATTAAAGAAAAAGTTAAGCTAATTAGTGCAAAGGTGCCAATGACAGCCTTTATGGTGCAGCGGTTGTACTGCCGTCTGCAATTATCATGAGTTTCGGCCATGACTCCTGTCAGAAGTAATGATGTAATTGATTTCAGTCTGGTTCCAATCTAATTATGGATAGAAAAAGTTAAAAGGTTATTTATGTAGATATTCAAAGTATCATATTTTTTCCATCAGGTTTGGCACTGGTTTCTGCTTCACTGTGGTCTACGCAGCCCTCCTCACAAAAACTAACAGGATATCACGCATTTTCAATGCCAGTAAGCACTCTGCCAAAAGACCCATCCTGATCTCCCCAAGTTCGCAACTAGCGATCTGCGCTGCCCTCATATCTATACAGGTAAGTTTACTTCAGAGTCAGACCTTGTCTGACAGCTTCTAAGTGTTGGAAAATCATCTTCCGAGCCTTTGCCCAACTATGATGGGGTCGGCTTTGAGATATCGAAATTCTGTAGAAAGACTGTTGGCCCACTTTTTAGGGTTCCAACTACCTGTAATGATTGATACAGATTTGGCATGGCATTTGAGGCACGGAGGGGATTCAATGTGTTAAGAATGGTCACCCATCCATAGACTGACCTGGCAAGGATTGCTTAACTTTGCAATGTGCTAATCTACTAGCACCTTTTTTTTCCGTGCGGAAATCCCCTCGGATACCACCTGTCGGTGGCATGTCGGACTCGAACCGACTAAAACCGCACGCCGTCTCGGGTACTAATAGCCGGGGAACCAGGTATACCCTAGAAAGGAAGTCCCTGGTGCAATCTACTAGCACCTAGCCACGAGCCGCATACATTAGTGTTGCAAAATATTAGTAATAATTCTAAATTTTGCTGATAAAACAAACTCAACTACTTGTTTATAAAACTTTGCATTCTGAATCTTCTTTTCCAGGTGCTAATAGTAGTAGTGTGGATGATCGTGGCCCCCGCCCGCGCCATGTTCCACTATCCCACTAGAGAAGATAATATGCTGGTCTGCGACTCTTACGTGGACGCGTCGTACATGATAGCTTTCTTCTACCCTATTGTGCTCATCCTGGTGTGCACAGTATATGCTGTGCTCACGAGGAAGATTCCTGAGGCGTTTAATGAAAGCAAGCACATTGGTAAGTACAGTGTTAATCTTGATTTCTTTGTTCTTGTTTATGGTATAAGGGGGCAAACGGGGATAAACAACTACCGCCGCCCATGGACACCTGCAACTTAAAAGTCAAAAGTGCGTTGCTGCCCTTGGAGTCCCTCCTGCTCGAGTCAGCGGGAGGGCGGGATTTGGGCTCTTTTAACCTCACTCACTCAGTGAAAGGCAACGAAAGAAATGCTTAACACCGGTTTTCTGTTAGGCCACGGCCTCGGGTTCGGCTCTTCCGGAGAGATACCGATCGAACCCTTATTATTAATATAAATTATTATTACCGTTATTAATATAAATTACTACATTTTCAGATTTTCGTTTAAGTTAAAGTTCAAAATGACTGAGACATCGTACTTTTTTAAGTGACGTAAAATGAAGAGAAATCCAAAAACCTTATAAAAAAATAAGTCTCTTGTGAATGCGTGCGGAACCTTAATCTAACAAAACAAAAGACTCATTCTTTCTTAAGAACGTTCATGATCCTTCTACAAGCGAGTGGTTATTTACAAAACAATGACGTATGTAACGAGTCTAATCAGAGCCTGAAACTGAGCTTCCCATTACACTGAAGATAACATCCTACAAATGGCGCTCTTCTTTACAAGCGTAGCGCTTCTTTCATAATGTATTTGGGAATTCATAGGGATGACAGCATTCGATAAAGTTTATGAATACTTTCTAAGTTTTAGAACTAAACTTTCTACATCAACACAGTAAGTTCTGTGACTTTCGTACACCAGGTTAAATGACAGTAATCCATATTTTCCATAACAATACTTATAAATATTATAAAAGTGAAAGTGAGTGTTTGTTTGAACCGCCTTCACGCCTAAACTACTAAACCGATTTTAAAAATACTTTCGCCTATAGAAAGTTACATTATCAGCGAGTAACATAGGGTACTTTTTACCAAAATTAAAACAATACAAAAATGGTATAAATACAAAGACGCAATTCATCTTCGAAATTGACGTTTACTTGAAATTATTTGCTATTTTTATGAGTGCTGTGACTATAACAGAAAAAAAAAACAACTACTGACTTTATTCATTCCATATTATACCGTCAACGACAGAGGGAATTGCCTAGAAACCTACTTCTACCCTTGACCTTACTCTGCCCTCCCGCCCTCAAAACGTTCAAGAGTGAACCCTGCATATCAATAAAGATATTCGTCTAGGTGAATTTAAGTGCTCTATCAAAATATTTTACATTTGAAGTAAGAATTAAGTTTATCGATATCAAACTGTCCCATCACTATTGAAGTAAATCCGACGTTGTTAGCCGTAATACGTGGATCAGGATTCCATTGTTGTTGATCCATTGTAATCGAGACAATACAATTCATAGCTCATTGACATAACCATTGTGACACGGATATCGAACTTAAATACCAGGTGCACAGTTGCTCCTGGCGGCAGCTAAATAATTAGATGGTTTAATCAAATTTATTGATTACCGCGTCGTGCTCTGATAGAAATGCAAATAATCGAAATCATAACCTCATACACCTCGACGACCGGATGGCGTAGTGGTTTGTGTAACGGACTGCTATTCCAAAGGTCGCGGGTTCGATTCCCGCTCAAGTCAAACATTTGTGTGCATGAACATTTGATTTTTGATTTGGTCTGGGTGTTTCTATGTATAATATGTATGTATTTACAAAAAAAAAGTATATATGTATTTATATCAGTTGTCTAGTACCCATAGTACAAGCTCTGCTTAGTTATTGACTAGATGGCGTTGTGTGTATGTGGTAGAATATTATTATTCTCTTTATTAAATTATATATACATATTAATTACATTTTTAAATACATTACAAAAGAAATAAAAATACATTTAAAAATATAAAAAATAGTAGACCACCGACATCGGGTACAGGTACCAGGACACCAGTGGTTAGGACTGCAAAGATAGGAACCTCCTCACTATACGAGCCGTGTCAAGGAGGACTGCCTTCTGTATCAGACCCTTGATCCAGCAGTCCAACGTGAGCCTCTTAAGGTGTTGGTCGAGGCTCTTGGCTATCAATCTGTGAGCAGATACGACTATCGGAACAATTATCACTGAATCGACTTTCAACATATCAACAATCTCGTGAGATAAATCCAAATATTTTGTTTTTCTTTTTCAACTTTCACGAGATTCTCGTCATGAGGAACGGCGATATCAACAATCATTGCGCGGCGCTCTAATCGATCTATCACTACAATATCAGGCTTATTAGCAACAATAGTCCTGTCTGTGATAATAGATCGATCCCAATACAACGTGGCCCGACCATTCTCGAGAACTGGGTCGGGCACATACCTGTAGTATGGCACCTCTAGATTCACAAGATGGTATTTAAGGGCAAGCTGTTGGTGTACAATCCTGGCTACTTGGTTGTGCCTATGCAAATATTCACCGTTAGCAAGACGAGAACAACCAGAAATGATTGATTGATTCCCCAGGACGGTGACATGCCCGACAGATGTCAACCGTACCATCTTTCAGGATATATTTCCGATAGTTATTCGTCATGATAACTTCGTCCATAATCGCACAAACAAAACCTTCAGTTTCTCCGAAGAGATCACCATACCGTAGCCAAGTCGTAGATGCTTTAAAGTCTATATCGGACCCGTTTAGGGCCCGATAAAACCGGCCATGGAGCTCTTTGCCCTTCCATACTTCCCTACGATCATTAGTACTAAATACTACAGGTTTGCGCCAATTCTCTTTAGCCAGAGTGAGCGGGGTGAATCCGATATCCACTGCAACTACATTGCGATGCATTCCCACATCGGTATGTAGAAAATATTCTCTGAGATTGCATATCTCCCGATTGTGTAGGGTCTTGATATTTAATAATCCGCGACCCCCTAGCTTTCGCGGGATATACAATCTCATAACCGATGAACGTGGGTGGTGCATTCGAAATGCAGTCAGCAATGTACGGACTCTCCTATCAAGGGCATCTAGTTCGGTCTGAGTCCATTTAAGTATACCAAAGGAATATATCAGAATCGGCATGACCCAACCATTGCAGGCTCGCACCTTGTTGCCCCCTGATAAAAGACTTTTAAGTACTTTTTTCAAGCGGCCAAAAAAGCGTTCCTGCAACGTTTGTTTCATGTCAGATTCTGGTATGCCTAACGACTGTGATATACCCAAATACTTGTAAGTTTCAGTGGCAGACAGAGATCTGAGTTTTGTTGAATCGGAAAGCTCTATTCCTTCAGATTCTACTATCTCACCCTTCTTTACATACATGACTGCACACTTGTCTACACCAAATTCCATTTTGATAGAATTACTAAAGTTTTCCGTCACCTTTAGTAACGCTGACAATTGTAATTTGGTGGGGGCTAGTAGTTTCAAATCATCCATATAAAGAAGGTGAGATATAACTTGATCATCTTTCTGCAACCTATAGCCTAGCAATGAACCCTCTAATAAAGTGCTAAGAGGGTTCAAAGCCAGGCAAAACCACAAGGGACTCAGACTATCACCTTGAAATATACCCCGCTCGATCTTTATTGGTGCATCAATTACCGTCGTCTGCCGACATCCTGGATAACGAAGAACTGTTCTCCATTGTCCCATACATGACTTCAAGAAAGTGAACAGAGTTGTATCAATTTTATACAACTCCAGCACCATGAAAAAGCCATGTATGTGGAACCGAGTCATAAGCCTTCTTATAGTCTATCCAACATGTCGCCAAACTCTTACGATTACGACGCACCTGTTGGCTAATGGCCCTGTCTATAATAAGGAGGTCTTTAGTGCCACGGCTCCCACTCCTACATCCATTCTGAGAAACTGACATAATCGAATTATTATTAATGTGTAAAGTAATTTTGAGTCTCAGAATAGATGTACATGGTTGGTAAACATGTAATAGGTCTAAAATTTTTGGGATCCATGACACTACCAGACTTGTAGAGTAAGTGGGTTATACCAGTGGTTAAAAATTGGGGTAATGAACCCGAATCCAAAGCTGCCTGGAATTGAGATGCCAAACACGCATGTGAGCTTCGGAACCACTTAAGCCAAAAGTTGTGCAGTCCGTCTAAACCAGGTGATTTCCAATTCGGTAATGAACGAACTGCACAGCTTACATCATCTTTATCAATTATAACTGGTTCCATAGGTGTTATAGACTCATATGAGCGTCTGACATCCGGCAACCAATCACCTTCTATATGATTGACAGGCACCGACCAGATGTTCCGCCAAAAAGTATGTGTGACATTTTCATCTGGCAAATGCCCATGACTCACATATGGATCCGGTTCCTCCCATTTCCGGTACACCCACTTCTCATTTCTTTGGAACATCCGATTCTGATTATACCGATCTATTCGTTTTTTGTACCGTCTTATCCATTTTGCCCATGCATAAATTTTCTGCTTTAGAAAGTCTATGCGCTCTGTGACACATGACATGTACTGTTGAGGACCAATGGTAGTCTCCAAGAATGCCTGTTTCACAAAGCGCATCACTCTCGGCCGCGTATTCCCTGATCGAAAACTAATTAGCTTACCAATAAGCACCCTGGTCTCAGCAATACGACGTTCAATTCTACACTGCCAAGCTGGTACAGTTGATTTAGGTCGAGTAGTAGTGACATTTTCAACTATATTAACACCAGCTACTCGACAAACTGCAACAGCCGCACAATACAGAATAGAATGTGTATCACCAAGATCTTCGCTATTGTCTAAATAATCAGGCAATAACGAATCCAGGGCACCCACAAGCGCTAAATTTCGTTTATGAATGGGCAAACGGGACAATCGGGGTCTATTATTCCAATTCACATACCGGTACTCTAGAATCGCATCCTCCAAAGCGCTCCTTATCCTATCATTGTATTATTATTATTATACACTTCATACACAGCCGTCTGATCCCAAACTAGGTAGAGCCTGTACTATGGTAACCAGACTGCTGATAAACATACCTACTTCTATATTTTAAATACATACATTACACCCAGACACAGAACAAATGATCGTGCTTCTCACACAATTATTTGTCCTCTGGTTTAGCAGTCAGGATCACTAACCGCTAGACTAAAGTGCCTGTCATAATCAATAATCCAAAATTGATCATTTTAAGATCCATAAGCAGTTATACTGATACTACGAATGTGGCAAAATAAGCTACGGTCGTAAGATATGGCGCATAATACCAGAAAGGCATTCTTGTAGTGACGAACGCCAACTTCGACTTCTATATACAATGAGAAATGTGATCTAATAAAGTCAATTCGAACTGATCCTGAATCGCACAATGAAAGTTCTCACGCCGATTAGTATTTATACAACTTCCCAACATAAGCATTAGATCTTAGCCTGCAAGGAAAATAAATCGTATCGAAAATCGATCGAAAGATCATCACGTCAAAATGCACTATTTTCGATACGATAATCTGATTATATGCTAATATTGTTTTAGGGCCAGAGTAAAAATTATACATACCTACAAACGTATTTTATTAATTACTTAACCTTCTTTAAGGTAGACTTAAGTGAAACCTTTATACACTTGAAGGTTACAAACAAATTTAATTGGCCCAATTTTAGAGAGAAAAGGATGAAGTGTATTTTGCTTTGATATCCGGTGCACACACACAAGACTCTGTAATTGTAAGATCCGACACCAGTACAAACTACTAACGAAGTTTTTATTCGTCTATTACTTAAACCTTACCTTGAGGTAGTCATACTTCGGCAAACCTATAGCGGCCGGTTAAACCGGAGTGACCGGACCGGAGGGCTTCACAGAAAACCTGTGCTAAACATTTTATTTGGTGCTTTTCACTGAGTGAGTAAGGTAACCTGATCGTCACTTTACACCGGGGGCCCGTCTCTTTTGCTCCTATTTCGTCTCTCCGTCGTCGTGACTCTCGACTTCTTAAGGTTTGTTTCTTTTATTCCAGGCTTCACGATGTACACTACCTGTGTGATCTGGTTGGCGTTCGTGCCGCTGTACTTTGGCACGGCCAGCCATGTGCCCCTCCGTGTCACCAGCATGGCCGTCACCATCTCACTCAGCGCAAGCGTCACGCTTGTCTGCCTCTTCTCACCCAAGGTAAACCTTTCCTTCTTCAGATAGTAAGTCTTAGCGTTGATATTATAAATACGATTGAGAGTAAATAATACGGACAATTGCAACTCCACTCACAAGTGCATTGATGCTCTTTGAGTGTTCTCTCCCAGAATGACGACACGATGGCGTAGTGGTTTGTGTAACGGACTGCTATTCCAAAGGTCGCGGGTTCCATTCCCGCTCAAGTCAAACATTTGTGTGCATGAACATTTGATGTTTGATTTGGTCTGGGTGTTTCTATGTATAATATGTATGTATTTAAAAAAAAAGTATATATGTATTTATATCAGTTGTCTAGTACCCATAGTACAAGCTCTGCTTAGTTTGGGACTAGATGGCGTTGTGTGTATGAGGTAGAATATATTATTATTATTATTATTAATTAGGGGTCGTTTTAACAAATATTAAAGGTTATGTTGAAGTATAAATTTTAGTACCAAAATACCAAAAGTTATTCAACCTCCAAATCAGATATGTTTATATTACTTTCAGTTGTACATAATTCTGATCCGGCCAGAGCGGAACGTCCGGCAAAGCATAATGCCGGTGCGGTACAGCCGCAAGCCCCCGCCGACACATCAGCTACCACACCCACCAAATAATATCAAAAGTAAGTTTTATTTTTATTTCGACATTTTAACATACTTACTCTAATATTTTTTTATGGAATAGGGGGCAAACGAGCAGACGCGTCAGCTGACGGAAAGCGACTATCGCAACCGATGAACGCCTGCAACTCAGAATCCACAAGCGCGTTGCCAACCTTTGAGGAAGGAGTATGCTCTTTTTATTCTCTTACCCTTAATTCACGGTGTATTAATTTTTTAATGTAGTTCTATGATAAACTTAAGATACATGCATTGTAATACGGTGAGGTATTTGCATTAAAAATATATTTAGTTTTCTTTTCTGCTCTTGAGTTTTTGAAAATTCTATTTAATCTTTCCACTGCTAAACTTCGCTGTATACGAGACTAAGTTCGTACTCCACCATGATCATTTATATAGAAATTTAAACACGAATCTAAAGAGAGTTACCTTGTGCAAATCATCAGATCTTTTTTCCTAAATTTTAATATAGTCACGTTACCTTGTACCGTGTGGTGACGGATTCAGAATACAGAGTGTCACCACCCCTATTCATCCCGTGGGTGTCGTAAGAGCCGACTAAGGGAAAAAACTACGCAGAATAACAGCACTGCAGAGAGAAGGAAAACTTGACACAAACCCTATACCAACCCGTCTGGCCAGCGTGACATAGTAGGCCAAAACCTCCTTTGTAAGGAGAGGCTACGTCCAGCAGTGGACTATCAAAGGCTGTTGCTATGTGACCTTGTACTGACTATGTTTTTTTCAAATTCTAGAACCACCAAGCGCTGATAAAGAAACCCAAACGGATCCTGCAGACTTCAAATTAGTCAATGGCCAAACGATCCAGCTTATGAACGACAACGAGAAGAAACCGCAACAACAAACAACTGAATCAAAGCCTACCATTAACAATGTTAAAACTATAAATACCAAAGACAAGTCTAGCTCAACTCAAGTAACAAATGACAAAGCAGATACCTTATAGCACAGACATTCTTCAAAGTCCCTCATTATAGAATACACTAACAAAAATAATAACGCTAGTTTTAAAAAGAAAAGTTGCTCATGTAAATTAAAAGAAAGAAAACCTGTTGTAGTTTAAAATTAAGATTTTGTACAATAATACGTAGAAGGCTTTCGATGTACATACAAATATACGCTTATTAATATTATATAAAATATATTGGACATGTAAAATACTATAACTAGGAGTTTTCAATCAATAGGTTTATTTAAAATTTATGTAAATATAGGATATGTAAATATAATGAAAAAGACATATAGTGATGTTGACTGTACATAATCGTATCGTATTTAAATAATATTAAGTTCAGTATCATTTGATATATAAAATGTAACTTTTGACTATAAGTATAGTTACCTAATATGTACAAGAGAGAGCTATGAGCCAGGACGGTAGCGATAATGATTTTATCTTAGCAATAACTTGTTTCATGATCATTGCAAATTAACTATGCACTTCCACTTACAGTCATTTAATGTAGGTATTTGTATTTATTACGTATTTTGTTATCGTTTTATACTTCAAATATAGTTGAGTTTAGAAGTGGAAGTGCAGAGTTTGTTCATATCAACAATAACATATCATTAAATTTTTAATTTTATCAAATTAGTATTATTTTATAGTTGTTATGAGCCCTTTTTTTTATCTAATATTGTCGTTTCTGTCTTGCTCTCTCGGTGCATATTATGAGAATAAGGTATACCGTAAATACTAAGGATATATTTACGAAAATAAACTGTTTGATGTTAACAACTGTCGTTTTATTTTTGTTTATCTTCTGAAAGCCGCGACGATTCATCGTCTGACTGTAGTCAAAGGTTAAATGATGGACTTTAATGTTAGTAAATTCAACTATAGCTAGTCCACTCTTTTTCTATGTATAAAATGTAAATATTCCAAAAAAGTATCTAAGTATTCTAACAGTCAATCTATCTTTCATAATACAAGCTCTGCTTAGTTTCAAACTAGATGGTGTTGTGTGTCAGGTGTCCGAAAATGTTATTATTAATCTAAACAAGTTCGAATTAAGAGCAAATATCTCGACTAAATTGCCTGCATCGCGGCAAGTACTTGATCTCAGGTAATTTCTTCTGTTAGCAGACTCAACGAGAAAGAGCAATGGAGTTGTCAGGTTTTATGTGCATCATGCATCATTGTGTGTTTATATGGGTCAGTATTAGTCAGTAGCTTTTGTGTAGTTTTAGGAGGTAGGAAATTCTTAAAACGATATAATGTTCGCAAATTGCCAGTTACTTTCTTGCTCACGCTAGTAACTTGAGCTCATCAATCGATGGTTTTGACGATGAGTAAGCCCAAGTCCCTGACTACAGGGCTGAATGGAATAATGAAACCTTTGAAGTCGACGGTGAGATAGAGGTAGTATCCAATCTGCTCATAATACGTTTGCTGCTTGTTTTGATTGTCTGACAGTTGGTTGAATCAACCGATAGTCCAAATCTTATCGACCAGGATTCTATGACCTCCAGGTCTTTATTGTTCTCGTCGATCTTGCGTTATGTCCTCAACCCTTGCCTGTGAGTACAGTTGCAGATTATCAGCATACTGGTGATACGCACCCTGAAGATGTTGAGTTACGAGGTTAATATGTATAGAGAATAAGAGAGGAGATAAAATTCCGCCTTGTAGCACGCCAGCGTGGAGGTCGCACCAACTTGATGATAATTCATCTACACGAACACACTGCTCTCACCCCTGAAAATAGGTGGAGAACCATTACAGTGTCCTCAGAAGGAACCATAAGATAGGACAGGATTTTGTGATTTTGACGGTATTAAAGACATTAGAGAAGTCAACTGGGGTAAGTACTGTGACTTTGGTGTCTTCCATGCCCTTCCTAATATCGCCAGTCACTTTAAGGAGAGCGATAACTGTGCTGTGACCGGGCCTGAAGCCGGATTGTAGAGGGCTTAAAAGTTGGTTTCTGTATACAAACTGTGAGACTTGTTTATGTACACAGGCCTCGAGTACTTCAGATAAAAATGGAAGAATAGAAATAGGTCGGAAGTGTTCAGGAAGTGAAGGGTTATTATTTTTTGGGAGAGGAATAATGTAAGCCTTACGCCACAAGGAGGGAAAGTATCGGAGTCGAAAGAGAAGTTGATTTTGTAAGTAATTACTGAGAGAATACGCGACGAGCGACGGCTAATGAAATCACACCTCGCAGCATTAGAACGGATAGAACGAATAATCTTCTTGATATCCTCAGGAGAAATCGGCAAAAATTCAAACGTGTCAGTAGTGGGACTGGTAAAACCAGATATTTAGTGTAGCGTTTGACACTTAGTTTGAAGATCCAGTGTAGCTGTGGTTGAGAACGACGGTTGATATCATTCATACCAATTTTATTGTTTAACACGGGATGCTGTTGTTTACCAATTCCTAGAGTACCAAGAAATTTCCAGATATTGGATGAAGAAGAATAGAGTCTTCTTCTTCATCCAATATCTGGAAATTGTTATGTAGCTATCTGTAACCATTTTATAAACATGGAACTGTTACAGACCCTGTCAGCAAGTTCCTTAATTATAGTGTTCCTACACGTACCAACCCGGGCCATGAACGCCGCGATTCGGCTTCTTTGGATGGCATTAAACGTGTTCAGTCTTGCCTCTACAAACATTGTGGAGGCGCTACAGAAAGGTGCTAGCCCCATAAGGTGCCTATAGATATTATTGTACTGAACACGAACGCCATCCAAAGACCTCTTCGTATATGCAGTCCAGAGTTGACACGCGTAGAAATTCTGACAGTATGCTCTGAACAGGTGCACTTTAGTCTGTACATTGGCATTAAAAAATCTTCTGGCAATCATATTGCCAACGACTGAGAGTGCTCGACGCCGTCGATCTATATCAGCGTCATCTCTCATGTCTGACGTGAGTATGTGACCAAGGTACTTGAACCTCCCCACCATGTTAACTATCTGTCCTCCTAACCATACCGGAGGCACGTTCTGAGGACCTCTTCCCGACCTAAATACCATCATTTCAGTCTTTTTTGCAATGTATACTTACTCATGCTCTGTAGCATATCTCTCACATATAACTAGCAGTCTTCTTAAGCCCTTGATCGAGGGGCTGAGCAGGACCATATCATCAGCATAACTTAAGTTGTTGACGTATCTGTCACCAAGTTTGAGCCCTACCGGAGTCCTGCTCAGCTCCCCTATCAGGTCATTGATATAGAGGTTAAACAGGTCAGGAGAAGTCAACCCCCCCTGTCTAACACCACATAATAGCTTGTAGCTGTCCGACATGGCAGTCCCCCACCTGACACTATTATACTGATTACAGTACCAGTATCTAATCAGTCCAACAACGCCCACCTGCGCGTTACTGTTATCTAGTTTCTCCCATAGCAAGTCGTGATTAATAGTGTCGAATGCGCGACTTAGATCCAGGAAACAAGCATAAACACTTGTATCTTGGCTGACATACTGCGACACAACCTGATTTAGGGAGAAAATAGCCATGTCCGTTGATACCTCAGAGCGAAATCCAAACTGTCCATCATTAATCTTTAAGGATGGACTCAATTTTTTGTGTATCAACCGTTTAAGTACCTTTGCCACTACCGTTGCCAATGGGCCTGTAGTTGGAAATGCTCGAGACATTACCCGTTTTGTTCTTGGTTATCGGTACCACAACAGTACGGATAAGATCAGCAGGCAAGTACATATGTCGCGCACAAAGACTGAAAAAACGAGCTAAAACATCAGCAATATACCGGCCCGCATAAAGTAGATGTTCCGAGCTTAAACCATCATGGCCTGGGGATTTTCCACGCCTCATCCCTCTGAGTACATTGATAACCTCATCAGAAGTGACGTGGAAAGCTTCCTCGCCATGCCCTCCTTGTGGTAGGCCGCGGTATATCAAAATTTGTTTGCAATACCTTTTTTCACTCTCTACACTGATCGGGGCACTACTCTTAGGGTTCAGTGTTTTAACTTCAGTCCAGAAATTACCGAAATTCCTAGATGACGCATGTTGGGCCAAAAAGTCCATTTTGATTTTTTCCTGGTTACTCTGTACGTACTTAAGCGCAGCTTGAAGGAGATTGCGTGAAAGAGGAGGCGTGGGCTAGGAGGTCTCCCATGATGATGTGATGTAATTTAAAAGTATAAAAACCTTCTGTCAAGAAATGATGTGGCTACGAGTAAGCTCGACATAAAATTAATCCTAATAAAATACAAAGTATATTGCAATTGCCGTGCCACACTAGCACACAGCATGGGTAAGCAGATTGACCTTATTTATTGTATAAACCGCTGATCAATTATCGTAGGTGCTTAGTCTATGTAGTATCGGTAGATGATAAATTACTAATATGTCAATGAAAATACAGTAGGTAAGTAAAATAATTTAAAAGTCTAATTCTTCTTTCATTTAAATTTTCTGGTCACATTTTTGTTTCTAGTCCTAATATACTCATTCCTACAACTATTAATCATATTATATTACATAAATTGCTTTGTAGTAAGAATATATTTTCAAAGTAATAATGACTAAAAACCCGTTCCGTTGAGAACCACCGATTTGTAAAAAAATTGACTGTGTTTAGTCTTTCAAACAGGACTTTATAGTTTTAAAGTCAACATCCATTAAATATGAATCTATAAAATATTGATGAACTAGCAACACTGCTGTCAACTGTCAACACTGTCAAATGTAATGTTATCTGTCTGATTTAAAATTGCAGATTGTGTTGTTTAGCTAAAAAGTAGTTTTAATTCCTTTCTCAACTGCTACAATGAATGAAGATTCAATTGAAATGATAAGAGAAACGAGACGTAATATACTTGTATTAAATAGGCGAAAAAATCGAGACGAAGAAACAGACAGTAGACGTTCTTTGAGAAACGTATCGCCAAAAAAGTAAGTTGAAAGAAAGTTCAAACTTCATGTTAGCTTAATTATTTTATGGAGGAAAAGTGGCACATAAATCAAGCTATAACTTGAATCGTTAATTTACTCATTCCGTATTTATGATTTTAAACGATCTAAATTGACAAAAAATAAAATAATATGTTTAAAGATGAGACCCGAAAAGTGCATTCAGAGTTCAAAAGCTTAGGACAGAAAAACTTGAGTAGGTTTATTGACAGGCCTTAGGCCAGGGAAAAGACACACATATATTTTTTCCTAATATTCCACTAGCTTTAAATTTAACTACTACTCTGACTTGACAATACTGTGTATGTACTACTGTACCACATGAAAATGTTTTTCTTGTTAATAACAATACATATATGATTTACTACAAGGCCTGCAGCTGTATGTTTTGTGGTTTCAGAATCTACTGTTCTGTAAATCATAATATAGACTGACTAATACAGACTAGAAAAAAGGTAGGCCTCTCCTTAGAACCTTCTTTCTAAGGAGAGGCCTATGTCCAGCAGTGGACTATTAAAGGCTGTTGATGTGATGTGATGTGATACAGACTAATGTGTGTCTAGTGGCTAATATAGACTTTTGTATTATAAAAGCACATCCAAAAACGGGAATGGGACAATTAATGTTGATTTATTGAAAGTATCTAATTAATTGATGGCCGGATTATAGTGGTTTATGTAAGAAACTGTGATGGCAAAGGTTGCGGGTATGATTCCCGCTCATGTCAAACATTTTTTTACATGAATAAATGTTCATGCAAAAAATGATGGATTTGGTCTGGGTGTTTCTAGGTATAATATTTATGTCAGTATGTTGTTTTGTAAATACATACATTATATATATATATATATACCTATTTATATCAGTTGTCTGGTACCCATAGTACAAACTCAGCTTAATTTAGGACTAGATGGGGTTCTGTGAATGTGGTAGAATATTATTATATTATTATTATTAATAATGTATTTAATAACTAAGCTTCTTTAAACAAGAAGGAGATTTAAACAGTAAATTATTATTTAATGTTTAATTCCATTCCAATTCAGGACCAATGTATATTAGAATTAAATAGCAGTCTATCTCCACTTTATTAGATTAGATATATATATATATATATATAAAAAAAAAAAAAAAAAAAAAAAAAAAAAAAAAAAAAAAAAAAAAGATATAGATAATTATAAGTGGTCACCCCACCTGTGAGCTGTAATTGAGCTTTGTTAAAATTCCTCCTTTATATTAATTTATCTATGCCTATGCAAGTTTATTCCAGGATCTAATTAAATATTAATTGATAGGCCTGTTGGTCTAATGGTTAGTGACCCTGACAGCTATGCTAGAGGTTGTGGGTTCAATTCTCACCCAGGACAAATAAGTGTGTGATGAGCACGGTCATTTGTTCTGTGTCTGTGTGTAATTTATCTATAATATGTATGTATTTAGAAATATATAAGTAAGTTTATCAGCAGTCTGGTTAACAAAGTATAGGCTCTGCCTTTTTTCTATGCAGGAAATGATTTTCGCACCATACCCTCTGTTGGGAAGGTCATACCCGCCTAGTATCAGATAGCCATGTGTGAGGTTGTTATTATTATTTAATTGTACAATTTCAGAACCCACCCAGATACCATAATGAATATAGCTAACAAATTGAAAACAAAGTCAATGATGAGTGTTCCAGAGCTGCAGATATTGAAGAATGCTCTCATAGATGATGAGACTTATATACAAACAGTGTTGAACACCAATGGAGCTCTTCGGGGATTAGTGCGTGAGCTGACAGGTTGTTAACAAAGTATTTTACATAGGTAGGTAGATAGTAGACAATGTAAAGGTGACCTCTTTGTTTGGAGTCAGATCAAATATCTGATTTAAATGGAATCTGGTTCTTTCTTCTCTAAACAAAGTGATTTAAGGGTATAGATTTCCCTGAGATCCACATTAGTACAAATAAGCTGATTTATGTTTAGAGAAATGTTTATTTTGTCACTTTTTTTTCTGAACAAAAGGTAAAGGTGACTTCTGTGTTTGGAGTCTGATTAAATATGTTAATGGGTCTCGATTTAAATGGAATCTGGTACTTTCTTCTCCAATCAAAGTTATTTAAGGGCACAGATTTCCCTGAGATCCACATTAGTACAAATTGGCTGATTTATGTTCAGAGAAATATTTATTTTTGAACAAACTAACTGTTATAGTGGTCTGTTTTTTAATCAGATGTCTTGTCCTCTTTCTACCTATAAGTCCTGCTTTTAAGAAAATGTACAGATTGATTTATCCATCTTAAGGTCACGAAGTAAGAAAGCAGTGTGCAGCAGCGGGTTGTTGCTGTAACTTAGCTCTTGGGGATGCACGCGCTGGACTAGCTGTTAGCAAGTCTGCAGGACCTTATCTTGTTGCCACCCTCAATAACCTCACGACGGAATTAGCGGTATTTTTTTATTACTCTTTAATTATTGGTCAAAATTCAACTATAATATTTATTTTTTCGTTTTTTTTTTTATACATGACTTCATTTATTCCACTTTTGTCATTATTTTTATGATTAAATCATCATTTTCTCACCCTTTCCACACGTTACAGATTTTTTCTGCATATTTCCAGGTCACCAGTTCTTGGACTCTGGGTAACTTAGCTGGGTCAGGGACAAGAGCATGTGAACTACTCAGGTCTCAAGGTGCTGTTGCTAAGTTGGTAGAGCTATTAGACTGTGGCAATGAAGAGATGAGAGATGCTGTGTTGTATGCTCTCGTCAGGTTTGCACATCAGTTGAAAAACAACTTAAGGTAGACATTTTTTTTTAAAGTTTAATAAGTAAAAGTTGTATGTATATAGAAATTCCTGACAGTGATGTTCTGTAGTCTATTTCCCATAATACCCTAAAAAATATGTACTCATATTTTTTTTAATTATGATTTTGGAGTCAAACGAGTAGACAAGTCACCTGATGGTAAGTCACTACCGGCGGTAGTAACTAGGTTTCGTTGTCGACCTTTGTGGATTTTCAAATACACTAATAGCTTAGGACTACGGAAGTTTGAGACCATGTCTCTTAATACACCAAAAAAGATAATTTTATTGAGGGATAAAATGTTGTCTGTCGAGGAACTTGACCCCAAAAAAATTCATGTCCGACTTGTTTACAAAAAATTTACCTTACCTACGAAATTATCTTTATAAATATACTTATATATATTTGTTACGATTTGAACAAAAACGTCAACTTCTGACTGAGCTTATAGACTTCATGCATACAAATATTTGCACAGAAGGGGCATCAAACCCGCGACTCCCTTGTAGCATACTATGTATACAAGTGGAGCCGCACCACAGACTCCCACTTCTACTGTTCCTTTAACTATTGATAAGAATATGGATTCCTTAATAAATATTCTATCACTTCTATCTACCTTAGAAATTCACCATATTTATTAACTCTTTCAGAACAATCCACCTAAACAATATGTTGGCAATTCTGCCCCGTCTTGAAGTAAACGATACATCACAACTGCTGTTTATACTCTCTTGTCACAGAGACTTTACACACAATTTAGTATCAGTAGATCTTCTATCAAAAATACTCCAATATTTAGCTGTAAATATACAACAATTGGATTGTGAAAATTTAACATATCTCTTCAGGTTCTTAGCTAATTGTTATTCTAAAGAATTCTATGACGTAGTCCTAAGTTTCTTTGTAGATAATAATTTAGGCGATCAAATTAAAATGTTATCGGCCAATGAGTCTGTGATATGGTTTCAAGGTAACGCTTATAAGTTGTGTAGTGATAATATATTTTTTGAGATGCTGTTGCAATGAAATGATTATAAGTTTTAAAGTGAGATATTTTTTTTCATTTCGAGATACCCTCTTAAATATCCGTATGACTTAGCATTTAAACTTTTCTGAAAATTCACAGTTTCATCAACTGCATAATATTATCATAAGTTTTGCGCATTTGACGCTTTGTGTCGAGATCTCTCAAACGCGTGGTTTCGAATTTTTCGACACTCGTGTTCAGTGTCCGGTTGCAGTGCGCACAGAAACAGATCTTTGAGCAATGCAACCGGGCTTTCAAAACGAAGTTTGGCTTTGCAAGTCATATCAGAACCCTGGCTGGAGACAAAGGAGTCGCCATCACCGGATACGGTGTGGATGGTTATATGTAATCGTAAGTAATCGTAATTCCCAATCTTCATTATTGTATTAATACTTTCCCACGTCGGGTACCACGCCACTTCCTACTACGCTGAGTGTTATGGGTTCGACACTTTGACACTTTGTCATCATCTGCCTACCCTTTTCCCAATTTTATTTGGGGTCGGCGCAGTATGTGTGATTTTTCCATTCTACTCTGTCATGCGTCATCTCACTGTTTACTCCCTTCCTAGCCATATCCTCCCTGACGCAGTCCATCCACCTCTTCTTCGGTCTGCCTCTTCTCTTGTACCCTTCAACTCCCATACCTAAAACTTTCTTCGCCACATTTTCCTCATCCCTCCGCATGACATGTCCATACCAAGATAACCTATTACTTCTTAACTTTTCATCCAGTGACGCTACTTTCAGACTCCCTCGTATATACTCATTCCTAACCTTGTCCATCTGAGTCACACCACACATCCATCTCAGCATTCGCATTTCGGCTACGTTCAGGCGTCTCTCATCAGTTTTCTTAATGGGCCAACTTTCAGAACCATACAGAACGGCAGGTCTGATAATAGTTTTATAAATTTGTCCCTTCAGTGTTAAGGGGAAACTGGGGTCACAAGTTGTTCCCGTTACCTGCAGCCACTTCATCATTCACGGGACGACATTTTGTGTGATCCACAAATTGTTGTTCTGAGTCTGGGTGTTCTTTGTATCCGTTTCACATATGTTTGTACACTTCCCGCGACAGTATATATTCATAATGCGGGAGTACTTTTTAAAAAGAAAAAAACTAAGTCGTGTTATAGATATTATTACCTACTTGACAATAATAATGATTATAATAATTGACTGATCATTTGATGAAATGACTGGATCATTAGGATAGAGCCAGGTATACTAATCGTATCATTAAAACGGCGTATTTATTAAAGAATAATATGAATTATGTCAATACGTGTTTGGCAATATGTCTAAATATCAAGAATCACGTGTTTTCTTAGGGGATATCTGTCTAGAAGACCGGGAGAAGAAGAGAAGACGTTTGCGTTGCGTTATTTGCGTCCTGTGACGACGTTATTGGACATTAAACTTTGGCGAAACTATACCTCCTTAATAAATTAATCAATCTCCATTTAATTCTAATTGGTTGCAGTGCTAAAACACGAAATAAAACAATAGAAATTTTGCAATAAATATATTATTATATCAATAATAATTATAATATTCAATAATAATAATAATTAATAATATTATTTAATAAATTGGATAATAATATTATTGATAAGGCTACATATATATAGCAGTTAATAAGTTTACTTGACTCTCACAAATGTAGCTCGAAGACATTTGACATTCGCGGAGGAGATGAGGAATAGGGAAGGGGGGGGGGGGGAGGGTTCTTGTGGTGGTAGACTGCGAACTATAAAATAACACATTCGTTTATCTAATATTCAAATATGAATAAAATCGCAGATTGTTTTAACTAGATATACTTAAAAACCTCTAATTCCGCTAATTTTTTTCACAAATATTGACTTAGTCATCATTTTTTAAGCATTAGCGTAATGGCTAAGGCATACGAACTCCACCCAGTACAATACCGATTTGTAACCGTTTTTTTTTTAAGTACAATATTTCTTATAAAAAACGAGCAATCCTTACAGTAGTCGCATGATGTGTAACATCTGTCATCTCGCCTGCCATCTGGCGGACAACTCAGCTATGCGCGCTCATTGGTCAAATTAAATAGCGCGCCTTTCCCCGACTTCCTGTTACACATTTCCGTCCCTTATTACAAAATCACTTCCACAGATTATAGAAAAGCAAGAGGAAAAATGTTACACATAAAATCTTTCGGTGTTTAATTATTTTGTTCTTTTCTCGCAAAACCTTTTAGAGATGACTCACCCATTCGTTTGTGAATACTTTACACTAACCAGAGGTCCAAGTGTGAGTTTATTTCACATCTATATTGATGTGAAATAAACTCACACTAGGCTAGAAAACGAGTCCTGGCATGATCTTTAATGAGTTTAAGGTTTCACACATAGCTTGCTAAGCTTACGTAAGGGTTGCCACGCCTTTGAAAGAATCTTTAGGTTAACCACACTGAAGGGTGTGAACTTTTTTATTGTGCACCACTTTTAAACGCCATATAAAATAATGCCGTGTTGTCATTTCATAATTTCGATCAAAGGTGGCAACCCTATTGACAGCCAACAATTTACGTTATACAGAAAATAAATGCTAACGGCAGTACTATGATATCACTAAAGAAACTACTTATTCCATTGACATAAGGTTACTAATCGTACAGCACGGGGCATTATATTAAAATAAACATCTTGAGTTTTGAATATTCAGTATAAAGGAGTGATCAGACTAAACGTTACAGCGTTTATACTGATAAACACTATTTCTAATAATAAATGTATGTATGTATATACAAAATTGCACTTTATAGACACAACTGCTGATGGACTTCGCGTCTTATTTCAAATAACTGGAATATGGTTGCATGTTTCATTATGATAATAATAACCAGTTCACTTTATAAATTTCCGGTTGTGACCTGGCCACATCATTCCGTAGAAACAAAGTAATAATCGAAAAACACTGTCATCTGTCAAACGAGGTTGATACGTCACTAACCTATGAACGGACATTGCTCACATAGATTGTTATACTAACTGACAGCTGTCAGATTCATCGATTAGTGACGTAAAGTATCTGGTTACTATTTTAATATTTTTAAGTGTAAAAATAGTTTCTTGCTTTTTAGCAAGATTTCCACCCTTTGAGGTAGTATATTTTTTTTCAAATTTGAAAAAAAAAACTGTTAGACTACCTTCCCAACAAAGTATTTTTCACATCTATTCATAAGTAATGGAGTTCTAAGATATCAAAAATAAAAAAAATCAAGCGAATAGGGAACCTCCTTTCTTAAAGGCGGTTAAAAACACAAAAACATTAATCCATATTCCAGTTATCATACACAAAATTACACTAGTACAGTTTATCAAAAACCGTTCAGAAGGCATACAGTTTGTCACAAATTGGTCATTATTCGGTGGACAGTATTGCACCGACTTACAAAGACTCGACTTACAAATCGGTCAATAAACAAAGTGTTCTGTCCAACCGTCAATTGACTTATTAGTAGGTTATTTACTGCACTTGCATTGTTTGATAAATTCTGATTCAGATTTTAGCAACAAGCTAGAACAGTCATTTAAACGGTTTTTTCGGATGCGTGCTTGCGCGAGTGCCATTTTTAATCGTGACACTTTACCATTGAATATAGGTTTATTTAAATTAAGTACCTTAGTGACGATCCCCACGTACCTATATAAGACTACGATGTGTACTGAGACTTTGATATTTCATTTAATTTTCTCCACGACCGTGCGCTTTTCAAGTCACTTTATGTGTAGCACTACTAAACTGTGGAACAAGTTATCGGCTGCGGTATTTAAGGACCGATACGACTTCTACAATCTTCAAGAAAATAGCGTACTCTTTCCTCAAAGACTGGTAACGCGCTTGTGACTCCCGAGTTGCAGGCGTTCATGGGCGGCGGCCCATAAAAAAAAAGAAACGCTTTGTACGTAGGGACCGTCTCTATATTCAATACATTTTTATTTTTACCAACCGTTCGCTAAACTTTCAGTAGAAGCTTTGAGATTTGTACCTTTCAAACGATTCGTCCACCAAATGCTGAGCAGGTAAACAACGGCTTCGAGCACAATGGGCTGTTGTGTCCGGTCTATCGCTCGTTACGATACACACTATGGCTATATTAGTGGTCGGTGGCGCGGCGCAGTTACGTGTGGTCGGCGCCGGCCGCGTGCTTGTGCCCGCGCCGCGCCCGCGCGCGAGACATGCTCTCGCTCGACTGACCGTTGCTCACTGGAAATGTTACGAGGAATGGAAATGTTCGTTCATGTCAAATTTAGTCAGATAAAGACAATCATAATATTTACAGGTACATATTGATATTTTACTACATATAAAAAAACGAAATGACATGCCTATTTAAACAAAACTACCTCTCACTCAAAAGCAGGTTAGTAAAGTTACGAAATGTGTTTTTCGTATCTTCAAGATTACAAAAACGGATTATGTTTGTACAAACTTTCTTGACTCATAGCTATATTTTAACCCAAACTAGGAGCTATCATACCACAATCAAACACAGAAACACGAGCGGAAATACATCGACAGATGACAAAATAAATAATTTTGCACAAACGTTTTGACTGTACACATAATTTTGAACAACTTCGAGAACGGCATAGTGTACCGCAATCGGCTCCGGTAGTATGTGTTCGTTGAACACGACCTTGGTACGTGAAGTGCTCAAAATGAACCACTCAGATACATATAATTTACTCCGATAACCTCTTTCACGAAAACAACGAAATAACACCGATTTTTCTGTAGCCGTAGCATTACTCCGGTCTAGCCTATTTATGATGAAGCATAGCTCTGTCACGGTTTATCCTAAGCGTTAGCAGTCACAGTTTCCTTTGATAAATATACACATTTTAGTATGTTAGTAACCATGCACAACAAGCCAGTTAACTGTGTTACCATGTATAAATATTCTCACCCTGACCGTCTGTAATTAATCTAGTGACCACAAATTTTAACTCGGGATAAATTGAATTCGTTTTGTAATCGTCCGATGCGTTCGGTAATTCGACCGTAGGCCTAATTCTCCGTTCTGAAATTCGAACACAAATTGTAAAAAAAATATATCAACTAGCTTGTTGTGGAAGGGCACTTCACGAAAGCGTGCAGAACTACAACGATTTTTATTTATTTTACTATTTTTTCCTTAGACAAGTACTTGTGAAAAATGATACAAACTAGATGTTTGAAATAAATCAATTCTTAAGTTTAATTTAATAAACGAATTGAGTATATTTATATAAATATAAATGTAAGGTTGGTTTGTGTACACTTTAAAAACTCGACAACTTATCGATATACAACCCGCTTTGAAGATTGTTTTTATCCATTTTTCGCATAAGTTTTGTTCCTTCCATTACTCAGTAAGGTAACCCAAATGTGCCAGCTAGTTTTTTTATAAATCTTCCGTCCGTCGTTATTACTTTTTATTTTAAATTTATTAAATCTTTTAAAGGCAAATCAATTACCCGTGTGGTGACGGATTAAGAATACAGAGTGTCACCACGCCTATTCATCCCGTGGGTGTCGTAAGAGCCGACTAAGGGAACAAACTACGCAAGACAACAGCACTGCAGAGAGAAGAAAACTTGACACAAACCCTATACCAAACCCAGCGTGGTATAGTATGCCAAAACCTCCTTTCTAAGGAGAGGCCTATATCCAACAGTGGACTAGTAAAAATGTTGATGTGATGTGAAAAGCAAATCGATTGTGATTTTATCTAATCGGCAACGTTACTAGATCATCAGGAGTTGACTTGTTGTCGAACTGTCAAAAAGTGAAAAGTGTATACTATTTTTCACTTTTTGACAGTTCGACAACAAAAGTGAAAAATATATATTACACTGCGTTCATTCATATATTTTTCACTTTTCGACACTTAAACTTTCAGATAGTATAACTATAGTTACCTGTAGCTTCTTCATGACTCTTGGCGGTCGTATTGTGTATTACTTCGCTATTCGTAGGTTGGGCTTTTTTATTCTTCTCGTATCCGTTGGCTCGCGGCCGTACGTTTTCTGCGAATTCTAGAGAATACAAACGGTTATTATTTGTGTTTCTCGTAAATGCTAGGTTTTGCAATTTGCGTCCCATTTTCGTGATCTATTATTTATGGTTGGCATTTTCAGTTGAAAATAATATATTTAGAACAAGTAATTTTTAAAGCGTCTATAAGCATTAATAATCGACTAGTTTTCAGCTTTTATCAAAGGAATGGAGCCTCCCTATAATTTGATTTCTGGACCAAATTACTCACTATTGGCGTATATGGTAGATCGGTGTATGGGTTGTCCGGACAGCTCAGGTAACGTCAATGGTCTCCGTGTGCTTCGCCCTCGGGAAGCCACGATGTTAAAGTCGCTAAAAAACAAAAGACCAAAATTGGAATTATTTATGTATAAAACTGGTTTACTTGAATGTGTTGGTCACTCTGCTTTTGTAACCGTGGTTATAGTAATTAATATTATTGTAATATGTATGATTTTTTTTTAACAAAGGTTGAATTGTTGAGTTTCTTGCTGCGCCTTTTCTCAACCATTCCATTCACGTCGAAGCGATGCTGGTAGGAAAAAAATATGAACACGCAAAATAAGTTGGAAGTCAAATTGAAGTACATAATTTCTATTATAATCCAATCTAATCTAAGCTAAATTCATACATACACATCATCAGTCATGTATCAACAGCAATAAGCAGAGAAAGAATGCTTGATACAGTGACCACTGTAGGAATCGAACTCACAACACTAAAAATTACGATATCCGTAGAATTTATACTACACAGATACAACTTCATACTAACTCTCTGAGTGGTTCTCGCCAAAAGTCGGGAGTATGTACAGGCGGGAAATGGTAATTGTTCTGGTATCCGTAGCCATCCAGCCCGCTGGCCCTTAGGCTAGCGTGCAGAGAATTCTTCATACACTGCAACTATAAATTGATATTCATAGTATTAGCATATTATTTTATGATACAGATGCTAAAGATTTAAAGAAAGTAAATTTTTTTGGTGTAAAATTTAGTATGTTCACTTTAAACACATCGAATATGATTAACTCTCTAAGAGACACGCTACGTGTGGTGACGGATTAAGGATTCGAAGAGTCACCTATTCATCCCGTGGGTGTCGTAAGAGCCGACACTAAGGGAGCAAACTACGTAGGACAACAACACTGCAAAGAGAAGGCAAACTTGACACAAAACTCCTTTCTAAGGAGAGGCCTATGTCCAGCAGTGGACTACTAAAGGCCCTTGATGTGTGATGTGAAGAGACATTTTGGTCAAAATATTTTCCTAACTTTTTTTTTGTGCTAGACACGAACGTGAACATCAATACACAAAACCGAACTACAATAAACGCTGCAACGAGGACGGGACACAAACACAAAAATTAACCGCATGCAGTACATAGTAGCAAAACTACAACATAAAATTGAAATTTCTAAAGCTACAAGATACGTCTCTTCTTAAGTGTGAAGCAAGTTGATAAGTTGAAGGCAATTTTGGCTACAACAAAACGTTTTATAGGATTAGATAAAATCTCGGCAGTTTAGGTTATTTCAAAACACGATTTACCGTACGTAGAATTTTTAGAATGTGCTACTATTGCAGTCAAATGAATTAAATTATACTTAAAGGTAGTGTTTTTAAATACTCTATTTTGGAAATATTTAGAGTCAATATTGCTTAAACATACCGTCACTAAACATACCTACATATAAACCGTGGGCCTAAAATGGATCCTTGAGAAACACCTGTTCTATAAAAGCGGCAAACGATGCCAAAGAAGGTCGATTGACATCAAGAATTGCCAAAATTTGGGTTCAACTATTAAAAGAAATAACTGCCCTAGATTTTGATGTACACCAAAACAATAAAACATTGACGTCAAGAGAAGGGATGTAAATTGATTGAGTCAAACGCTTTGCAGAAGTCGAACTACTAATGCCACTACCTGAATTAAATAAAGATGAAATCTATAGTATCCAGTTTTAAAGATTTGACCAATAGCCGTCAGATGGTTGATGAGATGTCAGACTTTACACATCATATGCGATTACTGTAAGGCTTACTCGTTTTTTTTTTTGGTACGGTAATAATGTTTCACGATGTGTCCTGTCCGCGTTGTCGTCACCGCGGTCTTAACACGACACCGAGCGCGCCCGATAACTGAATACACCCTTTTAATTAAATTGTCAATAATATTTATACAATTTAATAATTTTTGATGTGTTGGGTTACATAGGTATGTTTTGTGAAATAATGTAATTCAGAATTTTATTTGTAGCACTGTGCTCGAGTTCTAATAAGGACAATCCCTCTTCCTTTTATTCGTATTATTCTTTATTCAAAGTCAATAACTTTTTAAAATTGATAGTCAACGGTAATCTCTTTATATAATTAATTTAAATGAGCAAGTTTACATGGGTGACTATCTTTTATATGTCAATAAAATATACTTTCATCTGGTCTATGAGAAACGAGAGAGACATCTAGTTTCTCATACATGTATTTCAAAGCTTTTCAGGTTCCGTATACCTAAGTAATATAACATAGATATATCGGAAGTGAGTGGTGTAATCGACAGAGTTACACTAAATCGGTGATCGAGTTAGTTCGGCGGTGGGATGTCGGTCGGGCGATTAGGGCGAGGCGGGCGAGTCAGTGAGCGAGTGCGCCGGCGCGTGGGGCGACAGACGTACGTGTGCGTGGCGCGCGGCGGCTCCGTCAAACAGTAGGTTAGTGACGGCGCCGGACGAGGGCGCCAGTACCTCTCGCCGCTGGCGCTCCGCGTCGGCGCGCAGGCGGCGCACGAGCCGCTCCGCCTCGCCCAGCCGCGCGCGCAGCTCGCCGCGCGACGCGCCCTCCGCGCCTCCCTCCGCGCCCTCCGCCGCGCGGGCCTCCTCCTTCAGCTCCACCAGCCGGAGCTTTCTACAGAGACCCGACTATTAATAGTATACCTACCTTATTATAAACATCCTCTTGGACCCCTATAAGAAAAGATGTCGACAATAGTTTAAAAACATTGCTGCTTTTTTTATTCATTACAATTCAATACTTTAACTATATTCTCAACAATATAATAAACTAATTTATTTTCAACCATCAAAATGGTGCAGCTATTTGCGACTAAAACCTCAAAATAATTAAAACGACATTCCCTCTAAACTTCAGCTGTCATAAAAACTTTATCTCTCTAGAGCCGCACTCGTCATTTTGAAGATGATGCGAAAATGAGGGTCGTATCACACCAGACTAAAATTTCTTCAATTTGCGTCTAGCTAGTAGCATAATAAGAATGTACCACTTACAATCTAAAGTTCTGATTTCATTCAAAGTCAAAAGTAGGTACTCGGACTTCAACTCTCTAAATACTGATAACTACTTAGCAGAGTCCTCGAGATGTTTTAAGATAAGATTAGAATCAAGGAAAAGAATTGTTAAATTTACTATAATAGAAATTGCTTACGGCTCTAATGTAACAAACGCCAGAGGAGTATGCGATTTCTATTTAATGTTTTAAACCATACGCCATAACCATCAAATTAACAAGAAAAAGACAAAAATAAACAAGATGAACCGATTCCTAAATCCCGAAAATAGGTAAGTATACTGCTTCAGCGTACTCAGTCTGCGCATCCACGAGTGTCTGCAACTGAAGGGCTCTTGCCTCGGCGGCGCGCGCCTCACCCCGTGCGGCGCTCGCCTCCCGCTCCAGGCGAGCCACTTCTCGTTTCAGACGTGTTTCCTATTAACATCAAAACAACTTCTAAACTAGAGTAACTATCTCCAACTTTCTCTATACGAGTATAAGCATCTTTAATACTTTCAAGTATCTACCATAGTCAGTTTTGTTGTTGTTGTTGACTGGGTATAGCTAGCTGATGTCTAGTATAACTACTTACTAATGATTTAAATTAATTTCTATATCTACCCACTGTAATGGCGTTTCTAAGACTCACCTCAGTCTCAACATTTTCATCAATCGGTTGCGACGTTACTTTCGGTGTAGACTCCTTGTTGAATATCAGTTGAAATTGTAAGTCTGAAAATTATAATATAATCATGAAAATAAACATCAGCCTTTCTATAAACTATCCGGAAGAAATTCTGCTAAAAGCCTCTTGACAGAGGCTTCACTTTTTTTCCAAATGAAAGCCTGTACGAATACTACTAGTATTTTCGTATCTAACAAAAGCAGTTTCGGTTTCTGTTTCCCCGTAAAATCTAGGACTTTATAGGATAGATAATGTTAAAAGTAGTCTTTGGCAGGCTCAAAAAGATTGAACAACCTGTGCCTTAAAGTTAAAAATTACTACATAAAGCTCTAGAGATCCAGTATATATCATTACTTATCATATTAAAAGTGATGACAGTTGAAGTTCAACTGGTTCAGATAATATAACAAATAAATTCATTAAAATTATTAATGATCTTAAGAAATATTCTTCTTTATTTTCTTGTTTCTTATATTCGAACGCCAGGTTATGAATACAGCATGTGAGAGATGAGGTGAGAGAAGGGAAACTTGAAACAAACCCTATCCCAACCCGTCTGGCCAGCGTGGTATAGTAGGCCATAACTTCATTTCTAAGGAGAGGCCTATGTCCAGCAGTGGACTAGTAAAGGCTGTTGATGATGACGATAAGGTGATCTCTAGGAGTAATAAATGTATCTAAACACCATATAATGAAGTCGTCAACGAACCTAGTATCCAATGACTAAAACATTGTGTATTCAATTCCCTGTAACGAGATTGAGTTATGTTTCGACTTCAACTTATCATAACGTCCACGGAACACAATGAGTCACACTTACTACTACCACGAACGAATACGTTACGTTCTGAAGCTCAGAAATAAAACAACCACATTGTATAACATCTTGATGCATCATCAACAGCCTTTAATAATCCACTGCTGGACATAGGCCTCTCCTTAGAAAGGTGGCTTTGGCCTACTATACCACGCTGGCCAGACGGGTTGGTATAGGGTTTGTGGAAGAACGGGTATCATGTTCCTCCAACACAAAGGGAGGATCCTCCGACCAGGCGAGGTGATCATGCCTGGCGGGCCGCGGCCTGGCATGATCACCTCGCCTGGTCTCATCATCACCATCTTGATGCACACGGTGTAGTATAACACGCTAAACAGTATTTACAGTATACATGCGAAGTAAATGCAGATCTCAGAAATGTGCTGGTCACTCACTCACACATAAGAGTAAGTATTAGTAATGTGCTGCATATCCGTATCCTCGGATATCTTTACAAACGGGACTTTACACACATACATGAAACGGACACAAAGAACATCCAACGGGCCTGTTGGTCTAGTGGTTAGTGACTGCTAAACCGGAGGTCGTGGGTTCGATTCCCACCCAGGATAAAATAACCAAATATTGTGTGATGAGCACGGTCATTTGCTCTGTGTCTGGGTGTAATTTATCTATCATATGTATGTATTTAGAAATATATAAGTATGTTTATCAGCAGTCTGTTTACCATAGTACAGGCTCTGCATAGTTTGGGATCAGATGGCCGTGTGTGAGATGTGTGATATATATTATCAATATCCAGGCTCAGAATAAACAATTTGTGGATCACACAAAGTGGTATCCCATGTGGGGAGCGAACCTACAACACTCAGAGCAGTAGGAAGCGGTGTGGCGACCGCTTAAACTACTACGACATCTGTGCAGTCATATACAAAAATATTACGTAGCTAAATGTGATATAACGCTTACTTGCGATTCGTAATCATGAACATTATAATGTGATATTTTAAAGTGTAGTAACCGTTTTTGTAATTCTTATCTAACGGCTAAAAATTTTGACACTAGAAAACCGGCCAATGAGGGTTTTCTGAAATGTTCCACGTGAGATGGCAGCACTGTATCGTCAGGTCTAAACACCTGTCAAAACACATACACGATTTGTATTTTTCGATAATTTTTGTGTTTTATTCATTCTTAAAAACGTTACAAAAGGAATATTGTTTTCTAAAATGCCACAGATTGTGCAGTGCCTATGTGTCCAAATAAAACTTTTGCGCCTCTCTTTTTGAGCTCAATCTTCAGTTCGGCAACCTTTCTCTGGCGTAATCTATAATACTCAATAACACTTCCAAATTCATAGAATTTCACTAAAAAATTATACGTTCGGTAAGAATCTGTGCTATCTGACAGCTGTTTGGACCTGACGCATACGAAGCGCCGTCTGGTGGCAGAAAAAATATCGAAAACCCTCATTGCATTTCGGGCAACGCGTAGTGTGAATTTCTGTTTTAAACTTAAATTGATACTGTAGCTACATTTATTAGTTGGCGACTACTACTTTTAAACAAACACAGATTACCTCGCCGTGATAGTAACCTTCTTAGTCTGTTATATTCACTACCATCATGATTTTACTCAATAGTTTACGTTGTTAAAGTTAACTCTACAAAAAATGCGTTTAGAAGATTATTATTACGAATCACTGAATCGAAAACTTTACATTCTCTCACTGTTACACAACACACATATTCCACCATTTCGACGGCATTATTATGATATTTAACTATAAGAGTTCCTTGTTAGGTGAACGCAACCCTAAAAATATATCCATTATGTAAATAAAATAGACAGCGCGTTACGGTTATGCCTATTTAGCCAAAGTATTTAATCGGTTGGTTCGTGTTCTACTTACTATATTATGCATTAAGAAATTATACTATATTGATTTTTGCGGTTTTACTCATTTTTTCGGGGATGCCCGACTTGTTTTGGACGCGACGGTGGCCCTCTTTTAAGGCGTAAAACATCCTGCCACGAATGGTATCAGGCGTGACACGTGGTCTTGTAACACAAACTGCATGGATGGCATAGTGGTTTAAGCGGGCGCCTCGCCGCTTCCTACTGCGCTGAGTGTTGTGGGTTCGATCCCCAAATGGGACAACACTTTGTGTGATCCACAAATTGTTGTTCTGAGCCTGGGTGTTCTTCGTGTCCGTTTCATGAATGTTTGTAAAGTCCCCTGCGACACAGGATTCCTACTGCGGTCGATATCTTTCAAAAAAGAAATAAATACTAGTAGAGCGTTCGGAAACACATTCATAATATATTTAAATAATGATTAGAGATAGGAACATCGTTTTGGGCTTATTTAGCAGATAAACATTGTTGGAGCAAACAACAATCATCATCAACAGCCTTTAATAGTCCACTACTGGAAAGGCCCTCTCCTTAGAAAGGAGGCTTTGGCCTACTATACCATGCTGGCCAGACGGCTTGGTATATGGTTTGTGTCAAGTTTTCCTTCTCTTTGCAGTGTTGTTGTCCTGCGTAGTTTACTCCCTTAGTCGGCTCTTACGATACCCACGGGATGAATAGGGGTGGTGACACTCCGTATTCTTAATCCGTCACCACATGGACCACTTACAATTTACTATATAAATACTAATTTAAATGAATATAAACAAAATGGCCATAAGAATTAAAAATACAAAATTCCCAACAAACAAGATTTGTCTAATGAAAAGGGATTACCAATGTTTATAAGTCTGGCGAGGTTAAAAGTGTAACTCGTGCGTTACCCCCGACGAAGCCCTGGTGACCCTGCTGGCGATTAAAGAAATGGTACAACATACTTTGTTGCTTATATAAGGTTAGCTGTATATGTTGTACAGCTGTGTAGGACCTAATTAATTAGTTAATTACGAGTACTTACTATTTTTTAATTACTTATTTTTTTTAATACAATTACTAAGTATTATATACATAAGTATATAATACTTAGTCCGTGTGGTGACGGAATAAGAATACGTAATGTCACCACCCCTATTCATCCCGTGGGTGTAGTAAGAGCCGACTAAGGGACCAAACTACGCAGGACAAAAGCACTGCAAAGAGAAGGAAAATTTGAAACAAACCCTATACCAACCCGTCTGGCCAGCGTGGTATAGTAGGCCAAAACCTCCTTTCTAAGCAGAGGCCTATGTCCAGCAGTGGACTGTTATAGGCTGTTGATGATTGATGATGATATACATAAGTTCAGATTGTGGAATTCTCGTTGGGAATTTCCAAAGTCGGGCGACTTTAAACTGTTATGGCTACAAAAGAGCGATGAATGTCGCTATATTACACATTTTATTTCTCGTATAAATAAGTTAAAAAAAGGTATACTTTTGGAGAAAAGTTCGTATTTTCGGAGGGGTGACAATGATATATTAATATAATAACTTCAGACCAGGCAGTGCCTGTACCATGTTAAGCAGACTGCTGGTAAGCATGGTAAACATAATTAAATATTTCTAAATATTTACATATTATAGATAAATAAAGAGAATCGAGAGAATTCCTATTGCATTAAGTCCGGCATTGTACATTTTGTGCATAAAATTGTTAAAGAAATGATCGTGCTCATCACACAATTATTTGTCTTGGGTGGGAATCGATCCCAAGATCTCCAGCTTAGCAGTCAGGGTCACGTTTCACTAGACAAAGAGGCCCGTCAGACACAGAAGACCTATTTATGCTCCCACGATCATATAGACATACAGCTAATTCACGTCACGAAACCGACGCTGTCTTCCATCTTTTACGTTACGCTAACTACATATAATATGTCTTTACCTATGAAATTGCCGTTTTGTATGCAATAAGTGAAAGTAAAAAGAACTGGAGAGAATGATGGAGAAGCTTGCACATCTGCAACCAGCTTTGGTCAATCGGTCGTCCCCACTGCTCCTTCACGACAACGCGCGACCCTATACTGCGCAACAGACAGTCTCTAAGCTGCAAGAGCTGGGGTTGGAAGCTCTCCCTCATCCGCCATACTCACCAAACCTTGCACCTACCGACTATTACTTTTCCAAAATTTAGACAACTTTTTAGTGGGTAAAAAATTCAATTTCCGAGAGGCAGTACAAAAGGCCTTTCAAGAGTTTGTTGCCTCCCGTCCAGCTGATTTTTACAAGAAGGGCATCAATATTGCATCAATATTGATTGCATGGGTGATTACTTCGAATAACAGAAATAAAAAAGTTTGAAAAAATAAGTACTTTCACTTATTGCATACAAAACGGCAATTTCATAGGTAAAGACCTAATAAAATATTTATTTATATCTTAAGAAAGAAGAACCGTGTGTAAACCGTGTAGTGACGGATTAAGAATACGGAATGTCACTACCCCAATTCTTCCCGTAGGTGTCGCAAAAGCCGAGGGCGCAAAACAACGCAGGACACCAGCGCTGCAAAAAGAAGGAAAACTTGACACAAACCCTATACCAACCCGTCTGGCCAGCGTGATATAATAGCCCAAAACCTCCTTTCTAAGGAGAGGCCTATGTCCAGCAGTGGACTATTAAAGGCTGTTGATGTGTGATGATGTGATGTGAAGAAAAGAGAACAAAATGTTGGAACGTTGGAGAGTATGTGTGTACTATTTGTTATGTTTATAACAGATTCACAGTAAGGACAATGTCTGGGCACAGATAACTGCATCATAGGTAGCTGCATAGATTTTATTGTACATTACATGTTGTATGTTTACAAGTCGTTCATTACATACAAGAAATTCATTCATAGTATATTTTAACATTAACCTACGGAGTAGCGGAGACTAGTACAGGCTTCCTACATGCTTAAAGGAGTCTCCAACAATACTCGTAATTGATGATTGATTATTAAAAAAGCTATCATTTTTATTTAAAAAAAACTACTAGGTAGAAACCCACCTCTATTCCTCTCCCTTAAAGCTTCAATCTCGGTGTGAAGGCCGCTCAGCATCAACCGGTGCTGTTCCTGAAGGAATCGCACGCTGTGCTCAAGGTGCGCCACTCGCGCGACTGGATCCCCCCCGATAATATACGCTGAGCTCGTGGACTCTGGTGGTGTTTTCTTAACCTGGCGATAGAAAGAATGCTTATATGCAAAGGGAAGGTAGTCTACTCCTGATATTAAATGCATTGCCAATTTAGAATGTGACGCACACTTTAATATTTGCCACGAATTTAAATACCCTAACAATTAATAATAATTTGGTCTGTATGGTAACGGAATACGAAGTGTCACCACCACCCCTATTTATCCCGTGGGTCTTGTAAGAAAAGACTAAAGGAGCAAACTACGCAGAACAGCACTGCAAAGAGAAGGAAAACTGGACACAAACCCTATACCAACCCGAGAGATCAGCGTAGTATAGTAGGCTAAAACCTCTTTTCTAAGGAGAGGCGTATGTCCAGCAGTAAACTGTTAAAGGCTGTAGATGATGATGATGATGATGCATGCATTTAGAAATATTTAAGTATGTTTAGCAACAGTTTGGTTGCACAGGTTCTACCTAGTTTGGGGTGAGATTGCTGCGTGTGACATGTTTGAAGTTATTGTTTTGAGTTATAGGTATTTTTTTTAGTGACGCCTGGTATTTCAAAAAATGTGTAGTCGAGCAGAATCCACCTGGTGAATCGATGAACGGGAGTACAGATCGATAGGCTGTGAGGTTACCATCCCAAAGTTCCCTTTCTCCAATGACCCTTAAAATCGGCTAAAGGCACACATGACTGATGTGACCAAATCTAATTTTAGTCAAAACGGGAGATTGGCATCATCCTAATCTGAGCTAATGGTGCAATAATAAGTGTGAAGTTTGCACACAAAGTGTCCCATGTGGGGTTTGAACCAACAACACTCGGTGTAGTAGGAAGCGGCGTGGCGACCGCTTAAACCACTACTCCATCCGTGCAGTCATTATACCACGCTGGCCATAAGGGGTGGTATAGGGATTGTTTCAAGTTTTCGTTCTCTTTGCAGTTCTGTTGTCTTGCGTAGTTTGCTCCCATAGTCAGCTCTTACGACACCGTAATTCGTCATTCGTCACCATCTTCGTGTCGGATAATTATTTAAAACAGTTGTTAGGTAGGTACAACTGTTTAAAATAACAATTACAGGTAAATTAGCTTGGAGAATTTTTTGCGTTTGTAGTAGTGTATGGTTGTGCGTGTTTCCACTTTCCACTATCAAATGACGATTTTTTGCTTTAGATTGAAATATCTCGGAAACGGTGCGTCCTAGGCCAAAAATAACAAAAATTAGAGTTTTAAAAACCTAAAAATAAAAAAGAAAGGAAAAAAAAAAATTTAAATATCGGTCTCTCCTCTTTGAAGTTTCACTTCTATCGTGTGTGAATCGCACACACCCCTTTTTTTATAAAGTCAAAACCTTTTTCTTTAAAATAAAAACTTATTTTTATTGAAAACAAAAATCAGATTGTTGCTAGGGATAAGTATAAAATTAAATAGTAATGTTAGGATATCGAAACATTTTTGTATAGGCCAGAACGATATAGTGGAAACGCGCTCTAAGATCTGAGTAATATACACACCACTACATATGCAAAAATTTCTCGAGACTAATTTCACTGTACATTAATAGAATTTGTTAGGGTTGTAATTTTTTTTTAAATATACACATACATTTTAACTAATAAACGAAAATTTAGTTGTTTTTGTACAGTGTGATTGTAGTTGAGCAGCAGTGACGTTATTTCTTACGCGAGGAAATATTCAAACCTAAAAAATAAGATTTTATAGAACTTTAGTAAATGTTCTTGGTGTTTACTGTTCTTTTAACCAATTAATGTATGATTTTATTTATTACTATGTATGTATGTATTTAGCAATTGTAAAGCAACAGTTCAATGGTAAATTAAAATAATACGCACCTAGTTTTTTTTTTAAAGTACCTAGCATGACTTCAATTTCCTTAAATCCATCACGAATATGGAGGTAGAAATAATAATAATAATAATCATTTTTATTAGAGTAACCATGACTCATTGCTTGTTGACTCATGAAACTTATTCTATGTTAGTAGAGACGAGTTACAATAATTAATTTCTGCACTCTATGAGAGATGGCGCTGCAGTGACCCAGACATCCTTCACACAAACAAAGAATTTTCCATATCGGTTAAGCCACCTCCGAATAATAGGAAGATATAGTAACATACATTAATAAAATAAAAGATCCCGACAAACTGACAACCTCCTTATTTTTTTAAGTTGGTTTATGAATGCCAATGAACTTTACTATCATCAAGTATCTTACACACACACACACACGGCCGTCTGATCCCAAACTATGCAGAGCCTGTACTAAGGTAACCAGGCTGCTGATAAACATACTTATATATTTTTAAATACATACATATTATAGATAAATTACACCCAGACACAGAACAAATTACCGTGTTCATCACACAATATTTGTCCTGGGTGGGAATCGAACCCACGACCTCCGGTTTAGCAGTAAGGGTCACTAACCACTAGACCAACAGGCACGTAAACCAAGTAAACCGAGAACTAGTTAGTCTTTGTTCTGTACCTGATGTATTTTGATAAAAGATAACATCTTGTGGAGGAACGGGTGTCATGTCCCTCCAACACAAAGGGAGGATCCTCCGACCAGGCGAGGTGATCATGCCTGGCGGGCCGCGGCCCAACGGTTGATGTTGGGAAGTTGTATATAATCGGCGAGGGAATTCTTTATATCGCGATACAGGATTAGCAATTCTTATTTTAGCAATTACTCCGTAGTTCGGTGTGTCTTCATTAGATGGCGCTGTAGTATGATTCTGTTTATTTATATGTTTCTGTTTCTTTGTATGTGGGAGTCGCCACAATCTTTTTTACACCCACTCTAGATGCGCTTTGTGACTAATTAAAAATACGAAATTCATTCTGAATGTCGGCATGTAATGGTCAGATTGCTATTACAGAATGCAGGTTTTAAATATGGTTACGAAATTTACCACTTCTTAGCTAATTAGAAACATTTTTTATGCAAATAAGTTGTGTGGGTAAAATTGAGATAGCTCGAATATTCATTAACTCTGCATAGGTTTATATGTTTTGTATGTGTGTCTATCTATAAATCGATTCTTCGTATTTGGTTAAAAACTGTTTCCAACTTTCAACAATTGGCAGCTGGTTCTTTAGAAGAGTGCTGTTTTTGTTTTGATTTTTGGAGTGTTGTGGTTTCGATCTCCATATAGGTCAACACTTTCTGAAATCTACAAACTGTTGTTCCGAGTATGGGTGTTCTCGTGACACAGGATATATTCCTAGTGTTGTCTTACTAATAACAAAGCAAACAGACGACAGAAAAACATTACAGCCGTCAATGACGTTGCGTAAGTTGCACGATATAGCTTTTATTAACTTGTAACTATGTTAACAACTCTTGTGAGTAAATCATAACCTACTTCAAATAGGTAGTGTCGAAATGAAACTCTGTATACATCCAAACTTGTATTATTAATGTGAAAGTGAGCGTCTGTTTGTTAAACCACTAAACAGATTTTGATTATCAGTGAGTAACATAGGCTACTTTTTAACGCGGTAACCGACATACACGCGGGCGGAGCCGAGGACACTAGCTAGTATAACAAATTATAGTAGTGTAGTTGAAGGTCTTTGGGATACAACGTGATGGAGCAAAGACTGATTTGTAAAACTTTTAAGTGTATATATTAATTAACCCTTCTAGTTTACGTTTATATGATTCGTTTTGACGACTCTAACAATACATAACGATGCCAAATGATAGAGATGGAGCCAGGACTCTTTATTCCGTGAATTGTTTTGCTTGGTTTTATTTTTATTCTACCATACTATAATCATTGATTCCTATCGTTTTTTTCTCAGAACTTCGAGTAGTGAAAAATTAAGAATACGGAGCATCACCACCCCCATTCATCCTGTGGGTGTCACAAGAGCCGACGGCACTGCAAAGAGAAGGAAAACTCGACACAAACCGTCTAACTAGCGTGCTATAGTACCTAAACCAAAACCTAGTTTCTAAGAAGAGGCCTATGTTCAGCAGTGGACTATTAATGGCTGTTGTCGATGATGATGTGAAGTACCAATTCTGCTTCACTAACTTTTAAACTATCGCCTTCGATAATATATAATTATACCAGTTTTAAGATGATGAATTGTAGTGCACTTAAGTAGAAATCAATATGCACCTTGATATTAGAAAAGTTCTCGTGTAAAACGTTTAATTATTTATTAATCTACTAGTTTAATAGTTATTCTACAATTCTACGTAAGATAACGGATAACTATTAGTTTAACTATGGGACGGACTCTGAATATTTCGTTTATACAAACGATAATAAATAGTGGTGAATAACAAATAGAAAAAACCTACACGTATAACATAATATGTCATGCGAGTTTAAAGTCCTATTAGAAAACAAAGACGTCTTGATCTCATTAATAAATAAAAATGTTTGGTTATCAATAGCTTATATATTTATTCGAACCTACAAAGCAACCAAGAAAATCCTTCTCCAAAAAAAAAAATTGAACCGACTTCAAAGAATACTAACAAAGAGCATAGCAGCAATCGCGGTTTATATGCTGTCATTTTTGAAAAGCTCCATTGTCTGTCTGAGAAACTATCACTCTATATGAAATTTAAATGGGACCATTTCGTAATAAACGTAAGTTCTGACCAAACATACATAAAAAAAATATAGAAACATCCGAATTGTAAACCGCCGCCTTTTTGAAGTCGGTTAAAGAAGTTTTGTTGTACAATGTATTATTTAAATCTTTGAAGGCATGCAGCGGTTGTTTTTAGTCGATAAGAATCCAATTGACCCTTTTGCACCTAGCAAGGGTGGAGAACATCCATGATCCATCCAATATCTTTGTTTCGATTTATCATATCTTTGTTTTCAATTATCAAATGAATTTCTGAAAGATTACCAACATTAAAAATCAAACTTAATCTCTTTCACTTAAAATTAAATCTTATTTAGTGAAAATTTCGTCTTAAAATTTCACCCTTTATATTTCAATATTGAAAAAATAAACAGAATTAGGTAATTAGCAATAAATCGTTTATCCGTTGTGTGTATCACAGCAAATAAAAATTATCACGAAAATACTTGAATTTTTA